CCCTTGCACCTGAGCAGTTGAAGGTGAGCCCTAGATTTCTCAAGGGTACCTGCTGGGGTCTGACAGAGGACTCAGAAGGTATGATTTGCAAGATAATTTTATACTTGGCTCTTCAGCATGTATTTCTTATGCACCAGCTCTATAAAGGAAAACACACACACACACACACACACCTCTGTGCCAGACCCTCTGTGGACTAAAAAAGAGTCAGGACACATTATTCAAGTCTGGAAGGAGAGAAAAGACAGGTACAGAGTGAAGTAAGCAGTCTAGAGACCCAGCAGAGTCTCAGGTCAAAGGCTCTCAAGTGCAGACAGAGGGAGCTCTTCCCCTTCAGTGTTTCTTCCTCCCCCTCCAGCTCCGTCTTCTACTAGTAGCTCTACCACCACTGATAACGACAATATTTCTTTCATGCAGGTGCAGCTCCTTATGCCAGTGAAGCGCCTTCTCCCTGGGGCCTCTCATCATGCATGTGAGATGGGCACACCATGCGCCATCATGATTGAGATCCCAGGCTTTGGAGTAGGACACCCTGAGTTTGAATCCCAGTTCCACAACTAGTTGCATGACCACAGGTGTATTGTTGAACCTCACAAAGCTTCAGACTTCTTCATCTGTATAATTGGTTTGGTCAATAATATTTGCCTTAGAAGATTATCATGAGAAGTAAAGAAGAAAACATAAGTTGTCAGTGCCTGGTGCATGAGTACTTAACATGTGTACACTGTTGTTGACATTTTAGTTCATTCTGGAACTGGGCTCTCTGGATTAGAAGCCTGGTTCTGCCACTTGTGAGCTGTGTGACCTAGAGTAAGTTACTTAGCCTCTCTGTGCCCAGTTTCCTCTTTACAGTTTAATTATCTATACTGCTAACATTGAACATGGTGACCTGTTTCATTTTATTTCATTCTCAGAACTTCTAGGGTTGTGAGAATAAAATGAAATATATATATTATATTATAATATATTCTATAATGCATATTTCTTATACTTATTGCCTGGCATATAGAAAGCACTACATAAATGTTTGCTATTATTATTGTTTTAATTCATTCAGATCACTTATTCAAGAAATGTGAATTTAACACTTACCAAGTGCCAGACAGTGAACAAGCCAAACTATCTCCACCCTCATGGAGCGTACATTTGGGGGTTTATGCTTAAGTAAGATACCTTTCGAGCAAAGGCCTGAAGGAGGTGGAGGTGCAAGCCATGTAGGTATCTAGGGAAGCCATCCCAGGGCATTCATCCCAGGGAAATGCTATAAATGCCACCATCTAGCCAGCTCAGGATGGATATCCATCCAAGGTCACCTTGGAAAGGCTGGGTCTTCTGCAAACAACCTTGCACCTCCTTAATAGCCTATTAATCCCATTAAAGCATAACATGTGGAGGGTTTTTTAACACTGCCTTGGTTTACAAGTGTATGTGTGTATGTGTGCACGCAAAGGTCCTAAGGTGAGAACATGTCTACTGTGTTTGAGGACACAAAGCGGCCAGCAAGGCTGGGTCAAAGTGAACCTGGGCAAGCAGTAGGGGACACAGTTAGAGGAAAGAGTTGGAAAGGGGTGTGTGTGCAGATATTAGGGCTCCCTAGGCCAACATAATGACTTGTTTAAATGATCATTATATCATAGGTGGGTCAGTATCTACATATCAGACAATTAAGACCAAAGAAATTTAGTTACCTGCCCTAAGCAATTCATGGCAGGAGAAGCCTTAGAAGCAGAACAGGGCACCTGGGTTGGCAATCTTTACACTGCACCATGTGGCCTTCCACCCTGCTGAGGTTACTGGGCTCCCTTGGCCTCACCTCATGCTCA